GGGGGGGGACTTGTGCATGTTTGAAGCGAGTAGATGCTTTGCGCCTTATCATCTTTTGAGCCCCAATAGATTAGAGAAGCCCTAACTAAGCCATTGCCCTAGCTTATATGGTTCATTTGTAATCGAGGAATTCGTTTCCGAGCTCTTGTCCAGTACCGTATTCCCCTGCGCGGATTAGTCAGCCAAGTCCTCGAGTACGGTACTGGGTGAGAGTCGAGAGAGTTGAATTTTTCGAACATGACTGAATCATACGGAGCCAGTTGGGATGGCTTTGTTGAATCCTTCCAATCCAAACAACCCTTACAGGCAGTGGATAGACAAAATAGACCTGGTCAGATCTTGGTAGCGTTAGGTAGTAGAGACCCCAAGTACACCGTAGCCCCACCCCCACCCTCCATTTCCTGCGCTGATTCCTGAAAACGGGCTTCAAAACTTCACCAGCCCCGCCCAATTGCATTGAGTGGGCGTCATTGGTGGAGTTTTGAAGCGCGTTTTTAGGATTAAGCGCAGGAATTGGAGGGTGGGGGCGGAGGTACGGTGTACTTGGAGTGTCTACTACCTAATGATGTTAAAATCTGACTAGGGTCATTTTGCCGATCACTGCCTTTAAAGGCTACAAAGGCGCTTATAATCTGGGGCTTTCATGGTAACTCGAAGTTGTGGGAAAGCGCTAGCTAGATTGGGACCATAACAAAATATTTCTGAGTTACCCGAGCACTTTGCTCTGATTTTTATGGTGCTATTACTAAACTGGGAAAACGCGGTTTTTAACGCAGTTTAGGTTTTCTTGAGTGGTATGAGCAGATTGCATAAATGACTTTCACAGATTGTCATTAAGTTACTAATGCTTCGCTTTACAATGATGCATTTGTGAAACTACCGCTTTCAGCTACTACTCAGAGGAGAAGACCTTCAGCGCTCCTGCCGCCAAGGGCAGGAATCCGCCAATCTCACAGACGAAGCTAAATGCGAGAGGCTTGAAGGTAATAGATCTCTAATAATCTATCTACTTTAATCTTCTTTTTCTTCCTTTTTTTGTTTTCACGCTCGTTTTGTCTCGGCATTTTGAGTTTGTAAACATGAATGGGTGTAAATGTTGATGGTTGGTTGACTAGATGAAATTTTGGCAGTGTACGCAAACTCCTGATAAATTTTATACTACTAACTTCTGCTTTTTACCTTTTTCCTTACAAGGAACTTGTTTATGTTTTTGGAACTAATTTATAGCTACATTCATAAGATGAGATGTCCTTGATTCATTTTTACCATCCTTGAATTTTTCTTACATGTAGCACAAATCACCTGATTATAAAAATTCAAGTTATTAAAGTCCATTTTTAGATTATCAATATGACTATGACTTATCTTTTTCTTCGCTCAAAACCCTAAAAGCTTGATAATTTAATGGTTTTAGGATTTGGATGATCATGATATCGATGGTCTGCTTTCCAACCTAAGCATTGATGAGCTTGAGGACCTCAACAATGATTTTGATCCAGATGTGAGTTGCACTGCCGTTCTTCTTGTCTTTTGATTTGGCTACATAATTACTCACACCCAAATACCTGATTAATTTGATATTCAAACTTGGTTACGTCGCTCAGAGACCGAGCTAGAGT